GGTACCGGCAAGGTAGGTGAAGGAGATCAAGATGTACATACCTGTGTGTGGTGAATACAGTCAGTAATACTGCGATGACTTTATATGGTGACGGGATAACTAGACTTATCAGGGAAGCATTTGTAACGTATATAAATGTTGAATCACTATGTTGAACCCTGAAACTATTATGTCAACTATACTTCAAAAAAAAATCTGTTAAACATTAAAAAGAGTTCCAGTGGTATTTTTCATAGAAATAAAAGCAAATCCTAAGTTCACACAGAAAAAGACCCCCAAAAGCTAAAGCAACGTCCAGAAAGAAGAAAGCTGGGGCATCACACTAAGTGATTTCAAGTTACATTATAAGCTACAGTAATCAAAACTGTGTGGAACTGGCACAAAACCAGACACATAGACAACAGAACAGAATCAAGGGTCCAGAAATAAACCCATGGATGTACAGCCAACTAATACTGACAAGAGGGCTAAGAAGTCAGTGGGGAGAGGAGCGTCTTCAGTAAATGGCGCTGGGAAACTCGGACCTTCACAGGCAAGAGGGTGAGGTTAGACCCCTATCTTCCACCGCTCGCAAAAATTGACATAAAATGGATTGAAGACTTAAGTGGAAGACTTGATACCATAAAACTCCTGGAAGAAAACGGAAAAGCTCTTGATGTTTTGGCAATGATTTTTTGGATATGGCACCAAAAGCACAGCAGCGAGAGCGGAAGCCGGCACGTGGGACGACGTCAAACGGCACAGGGCGCCTTGAGCGGAGCGGGAGGGAATGTCGGCCGACCACGCCTCTGACGAGCGTCATGTCCAAGCACAGGAGGAGCGCACGCGACTCGGTAGCAGAAAACCCCAGGTAATCCAGGTAAAAAATGGGCAGACGACCTGAGCAGGTATTTTCTGACGAGACTCAGAAGCCAACAGACATGCAAAACCGTGCTCGGCACCCTTAAACGTCAGGGAGATTTGAATCAAAAGCACAGTGAGGCGTCACTTCATCCCTGTTAGAATGGCCACTGTCAACAAGACAAGACACGACAAGTGTTGGCGAGGATGCGGAGAAACGGGACCCTCGTGTCCTGTTTGCGGGAATGTGAATTGGCGGAGCCTCTACGGAAACAGTATGGAGGTTCCTCAAAGCACCGAAGGCAGAGCCACCGCGGGACCCAGCATCTCCGCGGCTGGGCATTTATCCAAAGGAAAGGAAATCAGGATCTCAAGGGGTGTCTGCCCCCTGTGCTCACTGCAGCATCACTTACACTAACTAAGACATGGGCACAACCTAAGTGCCCATAATGGATAAAGGAAACGGGAGGAATATATACAATGAAACATATGAGTACAGCCATAAATAGAAGGAAAGCCTGCCATTCGTGACAACGTGGAGGGCGTTGAGGGCATTTTGCTAAATTAAGTGTTGGACAAGGAAAGACAAATACTGTGCAATCTCATGTGTATGTGGAATCGGAAAAAGCTGAAATCGTAGAAACAGGGTAGAATGGTGGTTGCCAGGAGCTGCGCGTGGGAGGAGTTGAGGAAATGCTGGTCGAAAGGCAGAAACTCTCAGAACTTCCACTTAAGTGCAGGAGTGGTCGCCCTTAGTAATCATTTTGGAATGTGTACACGTATGGAACGATCGCACGGTGCCCCTCGAACTCACACAACGTTGTATGTCAGTCAGACCGGAGGCAGAGTGGGCGGGGCGCCTGCGGGTGCGGAAGGGGCTGGGCTCTAGGCGTGGGGGGGAGTGGGCGGGGCGTGGATATGAGGCCGTCGCCGAGCATGTGGTGGGGCCGATGTGGGGACCCCTGAGGCTTCCTGGGGACCACGGGCCACACCAGTTGGCCCGGTGTGTGACTCCTGGAGGTTCAGGGTGGGCAGTGTGCGAGGCGGGTAGGAGAGGGGACGGACAGAAGGCCCTTCTCGGAAAGCAGGGGGGCAGGATCCAGGCCACAGTGGGGACGGACCAGGTGGGCTGGCCCAAGAGGGCGGGCTGTCTTCAAGGGCTGACAGCTCCAGCCTCGCGTCCCCACTTCCTCCTCCATGCACCCCGCTTCCGCCACAAGCCCAGGAGCCCTGGGCCCGAGGTGGGGTGGGACCTGGTCCCCTGCTCCTGCTGTGCTCCTCCCTCGGCCCGCCTCCGGGTTCTGACTTCATGGGCCTGGAGCAACAATGTCACCTGGCCTCCCACGGCCCCTGCAGCTGTGCCAAGAGGTGCCCGGGCCCATCCCCAGCGAGATGTCCAGGCCTCCGAGCAGCTGTGCACCCGTGCTGCATGCACCTCGTTGTGAGTGGTCCTCTTGAACCCAGTCAGCTCAGGGTTCCCGCTCCTCTACGGAAACAGCTCCTGTGGGGTGGTGGCATCCCGGTCCTCCTCCTCTAATTGTGGAGCGCTGGTCCCCCCCCTCTGGCATCTCGCGGCAGTACTGGGCCAATGGCTGCGGCTTCCCTAGACTTGCGCTCCCCCCTCAGCCCTGGAACCCTGCGCGCCGCTGGCCCAGGTGCTCTGATCGCTCTGTCTTCTTTTCATCCACCTGATTCTTGCCGGGTGCCCTGCTGTCCTCCTCTGCGTTCACTTATGATGTGATCGCTTCTGGTTCGGACGGAGTTCTGGCAAAGTGACACACTTGAAGGGACCATCCGCCATGTGTGTGTAGGGTGTCGCTGACCCCCAGGCATGGACTGTCCCTAGGCCTGCGGAGACAAGAGGCGGGAGCAGCGAGCAGACCCGGAGGGAGAAAGGAGGGTGGAGAGGGTGCCTGGGACCTTCAGTTGAGGCTTACGGCCAAACCAGGCGACCCGGCAGGACGGAGCTGGGGAATAAATGCCTGGCATCAGTCTTCCTTCCTCCAAGAGCCTGCTGCTCCAGGCAGGGGCGGCCGGGAGTCAGAGGTCACGGGAGCAGGCTCATGTGGTCCACACATGGCACAGAGCAGGTGGGGGAAGGGAAGAGGGTGCAAACGGCGGACTTGAAGTGATACAATTTCCAGATTCTTATCTCCAGCTGGACACTATCATCTGGCGTCCCTGGTGATGTCTAACTCAACGTCTGTACTTCTGTCACATAGAAAATTTTAATTTTCATCTGTGACCAACAAGCTCTTGCCCCATCTTTCCCATCCTGGTTTTCTTAGTTTGTGCTCAGGTCAAAGACTAAGACACCCATTTGTCTTTCCAGCAGACTACACACCTCCCCCTCTCAGGCCACTGCCCAAGCCCTGACTGGCCTCCCTGTTTCTCTCTCACAGGCCTCCAGCAGCCTCCCCTACAGCCTTCCCTTCCACCTCCCAGCTGAGGGAGCCCTGCTTCTGTTCGGGGCCACTATGTGCTCGCCTCAGCAGGTGACGGCAGCCCTAGTCCTCCGTCAGACGTTCACTTCTCCATCCTCTTGAAGCCAGGAGTGGTTCATGACCCAATAGCATTTAAAGAGAAATTTGCTGGAGGGCTTCTGAGAAGCCTTTCCTTTGTTATAGAATGATGTAATACGTTTATTTTAAAAAACTGGTTGTCCTTTTTACTACTGCCCCATCCTTCCTACTTGAGATGGTGGTGTAAAGATGTGGTATCTCCTGCTATGGCAGCCACTTTGGGCCATGAGGCTACAAGCGTGAGGATAACAAGTGTAAGGTGTGACTATGGGCAGGAGGAGGGATGTGTTTCTGAAATGGCACACTTCGTGACTTTGTAGTAAGTGAAGCTAAAACTGTATTGCATAAACCACTGGTACCTGGGGAGCGGGTTGCTTCCCTCTGAATGTGTCCTGGTGGTAAACACCCAGGCCCTCTGCTGTACATTCCTCACTCCGCAGCCAGGGATCCTTTTAGAACAGGAGTCGGACGACGACCTCTCAGCTCAGAACTCTCCTGACTTCCCATCATAGTCAAAACAGGAGCCAGAGCCCAGGCCTTGGTTTGCACAGCCCAGAGACTGACCCACGTGCTGCACCCCCTTACTCCCCCTCGCACTGTGTCCTGGTCTTACTTCGCACATCTCACTTTTCTGCAACATTTACGTCCGTTCAGGGATCATTTCCCTAAAGAGGTCTTCCCTGACTCGGTGGCGGAAAAGCCCCTTCGCCTTTGCCGGATCTTCCTCCCTTGCTCTGCCCGCGCGGCGCGCACTGCTGCCTGGCAGGGGTGATTCGGTGGCTTCCTGACGCGGCGAACGAATCGTGCGTGACTCGAGTAGAGCAGTGCCTGGCCCGAAGTGCCCACCGCGTGAGCGCCTGCCATTCCTTGGAGAAGGTCGGCTCTGCAGGCAGCCCTGCCTGGGCTTGGGAAGTGCTCGTCGGCGACGCTCCGTGAGGGCGCGGGTGGATGCGCGGCCCCCGGCAGGCCCTCCTCCGTTGGTACTGAATGGTCGGGGGAACGAAGGAATCTCTGAATTGAGACTTAAGAGCTGACTCAGTGTGTGTTGACGAAAAGGCCTAGTTTACGATTGAGGGCTGAGGGGACCCAGGGCAGGGCTGTGCGTCCTGAGACCCCAAGGCTAGGAGGCGAAAGCCGTGGCCCATGAAGATGCTGAAGGCACCGAAGGGACGGCAGGAGGCCGGGCGCCGACACGCTGGGGAGGCCGGTGGTCCGCGGCGAGGGGAAGGAAGCTGACGACGAGGCCGCTGGGAGGAGTGGAGTGAGGAAAGCAACGTGGGGACAGGGGCCTAACCCTCCGCCATTGGGCCGGAGCCGCTCGCGGGTGGTGGCGTCCACGGGGGACCGAGCGCGCCGTCGAGGACTCCCAGGCGCGCCCCGCTCCGCGCCGCCGCGCAGTTCAGCGTCTGGCCGGCTCCCGCCCGGGGTGCAGGGCTGGACGCGCGGACGGCACCCGCTGCCCGCTTCCGCCCGGCGCGGGTGCAGCCCGGAGGCCCGCGGAGCGCGGGGGGCGGGCGGCCGGACCCGGCGGCGGGGCGGGGCGGGGGCGGGGGCGGCCGGGCGGGGCCGGCGCGGATTGGCCGCGCGCCCCCGCGTGACGGGCCCCTTATAGGGCGTGGTGCGGGCGGCCGAGTCGGGTGCGGCGGTGGCTGGCAGGGCGAGGTCCGTGCGGCTCCGCGCTCCGCGGCTGCACCGCTCCGAGCGCCTGGCGCGCCCCGCGCCCTCCCTCCCGGGGCCTCTGGGCCGGGGATGCGTGCGGCGCCCGGGGGCCATGGTCCGCTTCGGGGACGAGCTAGGCGGCCGCTATGGGGGCGCCGGCGGCGGGGACCGGGCCCGGGGCGGCGGGGCCGGCGGGGCAGGCGGCCCGGGCCCCGGGGGGCTGCAGCCGGGCCAGCGGGTCCTCTACAAGCAGTCGATCGCGCAGCGCGCGCGGACCATGGCGCTGTACAACCCCATCCCGGTCAAGCAGAACTGCTTCACCGTCAACCGCTCGCTCTTCGTCTTCAGCGAGGACAACGTCGTCCGCAAATACGCCAAGCGCATCACCGAGTGGCCATATCCTGCCGGGGGCCGGGGGCCGCCTGAGGTCGCGGGGACAGGGACCGGGAGCGGCGTCCAGCGCCCGCCGGCTCCGGGAGGGTGCGGGGCGGGGGGCGGGCGGGGGCCGTCGCGCGGCGCCCAGTGGCCATCTTTCCCGGGCCCGGAGGAGGGCGCGACCCGCGGAGAGGCGCACCGGCTACGCCGCGGTTCGGCGAGGAGGGGGCGGGGCGGGGCTCGTGGCTCCTCCGCGCGCCGCGTGTGCGCGTGTGTTCTGTGTGTGCGTGTGCGTGGTGTGCAGTCGTGGTGGCGGGGCCGAGGGAGTCGGCTGGACACTGGGCGGAGCCCCCTGCCCCTGGACTCGTTCTCTCCTTTGGTCCGGGTGCAGAGCGCGCGGCCAGCCTGGAGGGCACCCGAGGGCGAATCCGTGTCTGTGCAGCCGAGAGCCCCGGTGTGGACGCGGGCCCGGGCGCGTGCCTGGCTGCAGGTGCGTTTGTGCGGGCACAGCATGAGCCCGGTGCTGCGCGTGCGTGCGTCCGGGACTCAGGGTGCATGTGTGTTCACGTGCCTGTGTAGGTACGGGCGGCGACGTGTCTAGGTGGGAGTCTGCGCCTGCGCGTGCCCCTCCACCAGCCCCGCGCGGGGGGCGCGCAGCCCTCTCCCCTCGGGCGCGGAGCCGGGCGGGGCCGAGCGGCGCTGTCCGCGGTGCTGACGGCCGCCGGGACGTGGACGTGCCGGGGGGCTGGCGGCCGCAACTGCAGAGGCCCCGCCTCGGATGAGGGCGGGGTGGGCTTCGGAGCGGTCAGCTCGGCCCCTCCGTCGGCTGCCTGGCCGTGGCAGCTACCCGGGCTTGTGTCTGGGCCTCCGCGCCTCGCTTCCTCCTGGCGCCTCCGGGCCAGTCCTTAACCCGCGCACTCCGTTTGAGTACATGATCCTGGCCACCATCATCGCCAACTGTATCGTGCTGGCGCTGGAGCAGCACCTCCCAGACGGAGACAAGACGCCCATGTCCGAGCGGCTGGTGAGTGGGCGGCGGCAGCTTGCGGATTCCCTGGCCCTTTTAGGGACTGTGTCTGAGGGCCGCTTCCTGGGCCAGGGCAGTCTATGCAGCTCCTTTCTCCTTGAGTGGAGGCAAAGGGTGGAACCCCTCAGCTAGCGCCTCCCTCAAGGGCCGGGAGGACTGGGGTAGCCAGCTCAGCACCTGATGGGAAGGGGGCCTGAGAGAGGCCCCATCAGCCAGCAGCCGCTGCACCCCGTGCCTCCAGCTGCCCTTAGCCCCGAATGGGCTGCCCAGCCCCACAACCTCAGGCCTTGATCTGAGAGACCAGCAGTCACGCTTGGGGAGCGAAGGGCTCGGGGTGTCAGGCTCCGGGGGTGCCCTGTTGAGGGCCGGGCTGCTGGCCCACCTCCTCCCTGGCTCTGTGGCTGTCGGAGGCCCCCGTAGTGGGGGTCCAAAGGGTCACTCTCTCCCTCAGCCTTCCCTGGCTCTGTTTGGAATCCCTTCTCTGTGGGGCCGCTCCTTCCCACGCCTTCTTCCCAAACATCCTGGATTGTGCCAAGAGCCTTGTAGACCCCTGTGCCGCCCCCCGTTGAAACACAAAGCTTGTGAGAGGGTGCCAGAGCAGAGGGAGGGGAGGTGTTTGGGGAGGGGAGCCCCACTTCAAAGGTGAAGCTGCGTCCCTAGGCCCCAGCCCTCTCGGCTGCCTGGCCCTTTGCCTGGGCTCAGTTTGGGCTCCTAGAGACCTGACAGACTGAGCCTCAGAGCAGAGAGAGGACAGGCAGGTGCAGGGTCCAGAGGGGGGCCTGGGCCTGCTGGAGAGCTGCAGAGGCCCCGAGGTCCCAAGGAGACAGCTGCTCCTGGGACCCCAGCATCCAGAGGCTGATCCCCTCCCCCCACCCTGGCAAGTGAGTGGAGATGAGCATTGATGAAACAGGCCCTGTCCAGTCCTCGGTTGGCCCTGAGCTCCCCTCCCCGCAGGCCGTCGCAGGCCCGGGGTGCGAAGGGGGACCGAGCAAGGCTGCCCTGGGGGTGCACGCACGTCGGGGAGGCACCACGGGAGGGCGAAGAAGCTGCATAGCCAAGGGATGGGTTTTAGGGAGCTGACTTCTCTTCAGGCTCCCGGAGGACCAGTAGGGGTGTCTGACTGTGGGAGTGGGGCAAGAACGTGGAGGACAGCACGGCCGTGCCACGGGGCAGAGTGGGACGTGGTCTCCGCAGGTGGCTCTTGTCCGGGTGTGGAGCTGGACAGGGTCACTCGCCTTCTCTGGGCCCCTTGCCTGCTATGTGCTGGGGGTGAGCATCCCCTCTGGAGGCTGGAGAAGAGGGTGAAGGGGGGAGAGAACTGGACCGTCAGGCAGGGAGCTGTGAGTGCCAGGCCACAGGGTGTGGTCCTGTCTCCTAGGAAGTCTGGCAAGGTGGAGCCAGAGGGAAGCAGGCCAGGTGGTGGCCAGGTCCCGGGGTCAGGGGCCGGTATACAGGGGTCAGACTTGGGCCATCATCAAGCCAAGTCCGAGCTCCTGCCTCCCAGGCGAGGGAGGGTTTGCTTGGTGGCAGTGGCGGGTGGAGAGGTTGGGGGCTGAGCTGTCAGGAAAATGAACAGAGCGGGCCCAACCTGGAGGCCGTTCCTAGGAGGCCTAGGAAGCCCTTGGCTGGTCCTGGCTCTGCATCCAGGCACAGGCCTTGCAGGCCCTTAGGATGGAGGCAAGGCCAGAACAGAGAGGCTGGCCTGGAGGGCAGGGTGGTGACTCCGGGTTCAGGCCCGGGCTCGTGCTGCTGCCAGGGGAGCAGGTAGGGGTCCAGGTGCCTTGGGGATGGCCTCTCGCCTGCGGTTTGCCTCCCCGGCTCCCGGCTCCAGTTGCTTGGCTTCCCACCCGCCCATCAACTACCCAAGAGACCTTTAGCCAGATCCCCTGGCCTGCAGTCTCACCCAGGCCACTGCTGCCTGCCCACCCAGCCCTCCCTCAAGCCAGCCCTCAGCACGTGCTCCAGGTGGGGTGGGGAAGAGCTGCGAGGAGAGGGGTCTGGGGTGCAGCCCCCATCTTCCAGTTTCTGCCTGCGCCTCTGTGCATCTGGACGCTTTCTGTGAAGACTTGTTTCTGGGGCCCACCTGTTCCCTGGCAGATGGTCGGCAGCCCCTCCCTTGGGAGCCCAGGGCTCTCCGACTAAATCAGAGCAGAAGCCTCTGAGGGGTGATTCCCTCCGGACTCAGCATCGGGGCATAGGGTGGGAGAGCTGGACCATGGTGGACACTCGGCTGCCAGTCAGCCTGAGGGCTGGGGGGCCCAGGCTGAGGCTGTTCCCAGGCAGGTGGGAAGAGCCCTTGAAGGCACAGGCTGCTGGTGCTGAGCAGGAGCCAGCAGGCCACGGAGACAGCCTGGCCCCCTCAGTCTGGCCCGGGGCTCGCCTGTGCTGAGGCACTCCCTGCCACCGCCCCTAGCATGTGGCACCCCTGCCACTTCCCACACCTCCAGTGCATGTCTGCACGTGGTGCCCTCCCCACTGAGCTGCCTGTGGCCTCGCTGATGCCGGTGCTGAGATGCAGGAGTGGAGAGGGGGTGCTGCTGTCCCCCATCCCCACCCTGTGCTGACCGGAATTCCTTTCCTTGTCACCTGGCTGGACACCTCACCCTTCAGAGGATCCCTGGGGTCTGGGCATACTTGCTCCCACCAGGACTTGCGCGTTCTGACTCTCCAGGAGATGTGCTGGAGATTAAGTGGTTCCTGGCTGCTCCTGGGAGGCGGGGTCTTTGTGTAGGCACCTGGCACGTGGAGCCCTTGGTGCCATCAGATCCCTCCAGGTCTGAATCCGCCTCTGCCTCTCACAGGCTGAATTTCCTCAGGGTGGGGATGTGAGTGCTGAAGACAGGGGCTGTGGAAGGTCATTCTCTGCAGAAGAGGCCCACAAGCGCTGTGGCCATCACTGCTTTGGCCCTGCAGGGCTTCGAGGCACGGAAGCCTCTGCAGGGACTGTGACGTGGCTGGCCATGGGAGCCGGACCACGTTCCCTGTAGGCCCGTGGCCGGAGCGCCAGCTGGGGGAGCCTGTGCTGTGGGGGTCCCAGCCTGGTGGGCGGGTCATAGCTGGGACAGGGGCGTGGAGTGCCACCAGCCGCTGCCCGCTGCCCCAGCCTACCTCTCGGGGGCAGGGTGACCCGCTCTGTGCTTGCCCGCAGGATGACACGGAGCCCTACTTCATCGGCATCTTCTGCTTCGAAGCGGGAATGAAGATTATTGCTCTGGGCTTTGTCCTCCACAAGGGCTCCTACCTGCGCAACGGCTGGAATGTCATGGACTTCGTGGTGGTCCTCACGGGGTAGGCGCGTGGGCCGGGGGGCAGCCGTGTCCACACAGGGGCCCCACGGCTCCTCCTGAGGCTGGCCAGTGGCCTGGGGGCCGTGTACAAGGGCACCAATTGCATCCGAGAGGGGCGGGGATTTCTCCCCAAGAGGCGTCATGTTGCTGTCAAATAAAAGTGACCTGTCAGAGCCACAGACATGGGGCTGCTGGCTTTGTGGCCAGGTTGCCGCGGGGGTGGGCTCTGGGCCCTGTTTCATAGACCCTGGGCTCCAGCCTTCCCTGTGCCCCCTGCAGGCTGGCAGAGGCCTTTCCCTGTGTGGGCCCCATCCCACCTGGGCTGCCCAGAACAAGACCTTCCTGCACCGCGGGGCCCCGGCGGGTGAGGGTGTCCAAGGTCCGCCTTTTTGGTTTCTGGCTCAAAGAGGTGCGTCATCAGTGTGTCCCACCCACCACACCTCCTCTCATATGGACCCCAAAAACTGACAGGCTGTGGTTCCCCAGGAGATACAGGAGGCCAGCCCCGGTCCGGACTGGGGTGGACTGCAGGGCTCCTGCCCAGTGACCCTCCCTCGGTGTCCCAGTCCATCCGTCTGCACAGTGGGTCCTTTAGGCCCGGCCTTGTTCCTCTGGCCAGCGGGCTGCAGACTGTGGCTCCTTGGGGCTGGGGGAACGAGTGCTTGGGGAGTCTTTGCCACAGGACCTGTTGGCCAGCCCAGGTCCCACAGGATCCCCGCTACCCACCCCTGGCAGGGACTGAAGCCTGGTCTTCCCTGGGGCCTCGCTGTCCGGGAGGCTCAGAGTCCAGATCTCAGGAGGGACCGGGCCCCACTGTGCCCAGAGCACTGCTTCCAGCTGTGTGCTGGGCAGAGGCTGCCCTGGGACCCCCATCCTGCCCCGGTGCACGTGAGGACATGTCCGGAGGTGGTCTGGGCTTAAGCAGAGAAGGGGCAGGTGGCTGTGTGAGGAAGAGCCAGGCTTGGCTAGGCGACCCCTGAGCCTCCAAAAGGCCCTCGGAGTGAGGCCCTGAGCTGCGGGCCCCGTCCTGGGGGGTGGCTTCTCCATCTGCTGAGTGCTGACAGCTTGGCCCCAGAGGCATCCAGCCTGCACAACGTGGGTCAGCAAGGAGGTGGCCTCGCCTTTGGTGGGTCTCTTCCTGGAGAGGAGGCGGAGTTGCCTGTGGGCCCCCCTGCTCCACCCCTGGCCCTGTGTCCTGGGGCCTGTGGGTTCCCCCTTTCATAGCACTGAGAGGATGAGCTGCGCGTCTCTGAGATCAGAACAGCTAACAGGGTTTCTGACCAATAGGGCAGCTGTCTGATTTCTACTTCATTTATCAAAACAACCAGGGAGGGAAGAACACTGGGACCTTCTGCTGGGAGGCAGCGCTGGGCCGCCCACACCTGCTCCCTGTCCTCCTGCTTTGTGGTGGGCGTGGCTCAGGTCGGGACCCACCGGTCCTCCGAGGGTGTGTGGGGTGATGCGTGCTCCCACCAGTGGTGCTGGCAGGGTGCTGTGGTGCGCGTGGCCCCGGAGAGGGTGGTGCTCCCACGGTCCGGCGGGCACTGTGTAGGGTGCTGTGGAGAATCACTGGCTGTTTACCTCTCTCCCTCCCTCTAGAAGAGTCCCTATGGACAAGAAGGTCTTATTTTTCAGGGTGTCCCCAGAGCCCAGCCTGGGGCAGGCTCCCAGCAGGTATCAGGCAGCGTTTGCTGAATTAATGGGCTGTTGAAGCATGAGGGTGCTGGGCCAGCTGGGAGCTAGGTGGGGCGCCACCCTGCCCCCGGGCCTCTGCCCATGGTGCTGAGTGTTTGGGCTGCCAGGGTCAGGGCGGGGCGGGGGTGGGACCCCTGTGTTGTCCTGAGAGCAGGTCCTGATTCCAGGACCAGGGGGTCTGGGTCCCTCCGCGAGGGCCGGGTGAGGCCTCCCGAGGGGTGGTTGCTCTCGCTTGCCACTGGCCACTCTCCTGGGTGAAGGGAGAACAGGATGGGCTTGCCTCCTGGAGCCCCAGGGAGGGGATCCCCGGGCCCTGAGACTTATCGCCGCCCCCCCACTCCCGTGTGTCCTTTCTCTCTCTGTGCTCCCCTCCCCCTGGCTTGCCCTCTTCGTCATTGTGTGTCTGACTTCTCTGCCTCTTTGGCCCTTTATCTCTTCTTCACTCTGACTCCACATTTCCTTTCCTCTCGGTGTCTCTGTCCTCTGTCTCGGGCCTTCTTTCTCTCTTCTGCCTCATTCTGTGGCTCTGTGTCTTGCCTGGGCCAGGAGTCTCTGCTCCGTGTCTGTAGGGGGAGGGCTGGAGTTGGCGCGGAGGTTTCCAGGCTGCCTCTCTCTGCACCTCATCCCCCGAGGTGGCGCTGGCTTGGGAGGGGAGCCCCTGGTGGGAGGGCGACCTGTTCCCCATGGGCTCCCTCGCCAGCCCGGAGTCACGCTGGGGAGCTGCTTCGTCACTCCTACTTGGGGCGCACGGGGACCCACAGCCTGTGTGTGTGCACGTGGGTGTGTGCAGGGAGGCCCTGGGTCTGTCCTGGGTGCGTGATGTCGCCCATAGGGACCAGGGAAGAGCCCGGGCACTGACTCTCCTGAGCTGAGGTCCCTGTGGGTAGCATGGAGGGGGTGTTATTTCTCTTGACTTTGTTGTTTTTAATTAGGGTTTACTTAATTGGTGCTCAGCGGGCTGGAGGCCTGTGGTGGGAGGGGAGGGGCTCTGGCTGGGTCGCCCTGTTGCTGGGCAAAGCCCAGCTGGTCCCCAAGGCCAGTGGGTCTCTTCTGCTTCCAAGGCTGCTGTGCAGGTCACAGGAGGTGCCCTGCATGGGACAGGCCCCACCCTGCCTCGGGGAAGCCTCTGAGCCTCACATATTCTCCTGTAAACAGCCTGGGCACTGGGGCAGGGCAGCACCCAGCCCTGGCTCTGTGCCAACGCCCACACCCGTCTTGAACCTCCCCCACCTATTTGTCCCTCCATGAGTACTTGTTCATTCAGGGTTTGCTGAGGCTCTGCTAGGCACCAGGACACAGCAGGCTGTCCACTCGGCCCCTCCCTGCCGTCTGTGTCGGGGGGACGGTCTCCCCAGCCTTGGGGTGTACGCCGTTCGCTTGACCAACTACTTGACTGAAGCGTGATGCTTATTGCTTAAAGTCTGTGTCTCCTCCTATCTTCCCACCCCTGAATATACACTTGACAAGGGCAGGCCTCGACCTGTACCCTCCATGGCTGCATCACGGTGCCTGGGGCAGGTGTGCCACGAGACCACCCTGTGTTTGTGTGCTTCGATTTCCCATGTAGAGAGGGCTAAGGAGTGCAAGGTGCAGGCCGGTGCGAGAGGGCCTCTGGACCAAGGCGATGCCTGACCATGAGGGGCTGAGCCGTCTGGATTTTAGGGGAGGCTGTGGCTGGAGGCATCAGTGCCAGGACACCAGTGTGTCCATGGTCTTTAGGCCCAGCAGGATCCCAGGGCTGGAGGTCTGGGGGATAAGCTGTCCATGACAGCCCAGTGACCCCAGAGCTTGTGGGTGGGCACTGGCTAGTGGGCGGTGGAGAACCGGCCTAGTGCATGTTTCCGGGAGGAAGAGCTTGCTCCCCTGGGGCGGGAGTGACCGGCTCCCCGGGAAGGGAGGAGGGGCTGTGTGGCCAGTGCCTGTGGGCAGTGGCACAGCGGGGCAGAGAAGGAGGGGGTCAGAGGCAGGAGGGGATGGGGGTGGGACTGCAGCCATGGCTGGTGGGCAGGGTCCGGGGCAAGGAAGGTGGAGATAGATGGAAAGATGTGGGGAGCGTGTCCTGAGTGGGTGGGGGAGTGGGATCCAGGACCCGGGGTCCATGACTGCCTGTCTGTAGCAGGAGACTGAGGGTGAGCTGTGTGCGCGCGGGTGGCCCGTGGGGGGGGAGGCGTGGTGCCGACGCCCTCCGACTGTGTTGTTTCCACTTAACCAGGGAAGCAGGTGGGAGATGTGGGGTGGGAGGAAGCCTGGAGGTGAGGCTGGTGCCCCAGAGCTAGAGGAGGGGGGCAGCAGCGAGGAGCAGCCTTCCCTGCACCCAGCCTTCCCCACTCACCTGCCCTCCTCCACCTGCCGACCGGCCACCTGGCTGTCAGGTGCTCTTGTTGCTGGGGACGCTTGAACCTGGAGCCGGCCTCCTGTGGGAGTCCGAGGGCCAGCAGCGCACACCGTGTGGGGCGGGCAGGAGCCTGGGCTGGGTTGGGTGGACTCGTTCCCTCCCTGTGCCAGGGGCGGTGCCCGCGAAGCAGCTTGAGCGCAGGAGCAGGCAGCAGGGGCCGTGGGTCTCGGGGAACTCGGGAGGAGGGCAGCTCGGGGGGCTCTGGGTGCGGGGGCCTGACGGCCAGTGGAGCTGACAGTAGGGACGGTAACTCGGGGAGGTGAGGGCGGAGCTGGAGGAAGCGGGGGTCTGGTCGTTTGCCCACAGGCAAGTCTGGGACCCCTCTGTAGCGTGGCACCCCGTCGCCAGCACACGTGTCCGCCCATCCCCCCCGAAGCCCCCGGCCCACCCTTTGGTCCGAGTGCTGACTCCGGCTAGGAGTCAGGGCAGGGTGTGGGCGCTCTCGTACCACAGGGACTTCCTCCTGCCGGCCGAGGCCCTGAGTGTCCTACCCCGCCATGGCCCCAGCCTGGTGCTTCCCCCCTGGTCCTTGGGGACGGCAAAGAAGCGCGTCCCAGCTCAGGCAGGTGGCTTCCTGAGAGGGCATCTCCAACCGCAGCCTCTCATTTAGTCCAGATGAAGCTGGGATTTCTTTACAGGACATGTAATTAGAGCTTGGGGTCCTCCCTCCCTGGACTCGGCCTCCTGTGGGAAGAAGAGAGGGTGTGTGGGCCACTTTGCACAGGGCGGGAAGGCTGGTCCTGGGCTCGGCCCTCGGCCACCGGGATGCCTGCTGCCTGGCTGTCCGGGAGGCCACCCGGCAGATGACGCCGGGCAAGCAGGCGTGGCTGAGAGGAGCAGTGCGCTGCGTCCAAGCATGGGCTCCGTGGGGCTGGGCCTCCCCTTGGGTATCTGAGTTTGGGGTGACAGGA